AAAACTTGGTCTTTCTCTTTATTTATTCCTTCCCTTTCTAGCTTGTACTTATTTGAACAATGCCTAAAACTTGGTATTACAAGCACTTCCTGTGTCTGTTTGCCTCTTTAACAAGAATCGCTTTATATATTCCCCAATTGTAAGTCGTTTTGGATAAAAGTGTCTGCAAAATGACTAAATGTAAATGCATTGGTGGTGGTAGCTACTTTCCAAGCACTTATTGGTGCAAACGCCGGTACAACAAATGGATATGGAGCATCTAACGAGCTCATGCAAGCAGCTGTGCTTATTTCCCAGCTAACAATTTTTGGTTCCTAGAATTTTCCCAGAAAGTTAGTTTTTGGTTCCGAAAAAAAATAACCAAATGGGAACCAAAATATATATAAACACACACACACACACACACACGCGCACGCACGCGCACACACAACCAGTCAAAAGTTTTTGAACAGTAAGATTTTTAATGTCAGAAAAAAAAAAGAAAAAATCTTGACCAGGGGCACATCAGGTAATCACAAGCGAGACTATGGGTTCTCCAGAGAGGGAACAAAATGTCAAAAACAAAAAGTGGCTTAATAAACAAAAATGGCTTTTTGCCTTGCTTGCTATGTGAGTGCCTGGATGTGGATTAGGCCTATTGTTTTTTTTTTTTGCAATGGGATCCACTTTTTTAAGATTTGTAATGTTTTTTAAAGAATTATCTTCTGCTCACCAAACCTGCATTTATCTGATCCAAAATACAGCAAAATCTGTAATATTGTGAAATAGTTTTACTATATAAAATAACTGCTTTCTACTTGAATATATTTTAAAATGTAATTTATTCCTGTGATTTCAAAGCTGAATTTTTAGCAATATACAAAATAAAAATATATAATAAACAAATAAATACATTTTAATAATAATAATAATAATAATGAAATGAAATGTTACCTAGTAAGCTGCCTACCTAGACAGCATATGTGGGCGTCATAGGTGCGTTTAAACTTTTAAACCTATTTATGAACATCATTAACGCGTTCAAACATGTGTTCACAAGTTCGTTTAGCATTTTTTTTGTCTTTGAAATCGTCTCAAAAGCGTAACGTTATACGATGCCTCAGAAATGCTGCTTAGGTATGTTGTAGCGACCGCTAGCTTTCGAACACATCCACGATTAACGTTACTCTTTGTACTTTGACCCTCCTCTCTTCCACTACTTGCGCTACTAGGAAGGAGGGATCGGAAGTATGTTGTAATGAAAAAAGGGGAAATTTTTACATTAAGAAAGGACCGAGAGGATGAGGCAGTGAGATCTGACGTTATGGCATCTGAAAGGGAATACAGATGGACTGTTTGTGCAGTGATTGTGCTTTTGATAGCTCTGTGTGCAGCTCATATGACAGATCGACCTGCCTGTGAGTGTCATTTACCGTAACACCAATGTTGTATCTATCTAATAGATATTAAATATAAAACACATTTCTTAATGCCGTGGTGCCTTTTTGTTTCGCTACACTAGTTATCTCGCCCAGCTAACCAGCTAGCATCACTATTATTAGCTGTTTTTAGCCTATGCTAACTGTTCTTTATATTTAAAATATTTGAGCGTCTTATTGTGATTTACCTAAATGTGTATATGTTTATAATCTGAATTATATACACATTTTCTGTGTGTAAGAATCATTCTTTATCTTAGCCTTTTGTATTCTTGCTTTAGAATATCTATATAGTATGATGCTCCTATGTAACGTTATACAGCCAAAACAAGTACATTTAACGTTAGGGGATTCGTTTATTCAAATTTCCCTCGTTTGGCAGATCTGGGGCATGCGTGTACATTAGTGCTTGCCCCAGCTGTTGGGAATAATACCTGCAAGGCCAGCTTCTGGGACCCCTACTACGGTGGTGGGGTTTGTTGTAGGCACACAACACTCACTGACACTGCAGCTCAACAGCACCTCTGCAAACTTGGAGCAATGCAAGTGAGTTAGACATCAATACATTGATTCAACACAGAACAATGAGGCTTTCAGACCAAAACATATTCACTGTTTATTTGCTTTGGCCATTATTATCAAGGCATTATTATCTGACAATTTTTTTTGTTTGTTTTATCCAGTGTTAACTTCCACTTTGGGGAGCAGGGGAACTATTCTCTGTGGGTGAAGAACCTGAATGAGCCGTCACTGGTCAGCTGCTCGATGATCACTGATTCTGAGCCCATTAACAGCTACCTGCGTGAGTCAATTTTGCATCTGCACACTTCAATTAGTTTTTAATTATTATTATTATTTTTTTGTCTTTAAATTAATTCTTACTAGTGGTCAACCAGTATAAATTCTTCAGTTGCCAACATCTGACTGATTTAATGTCAGTATACATAATGCAATTTAATAACTGGCAAATGGGACATACATGTCTTATTTTATACATTATTAACTGAAAAGAGAAAAAAAATGTATATGATGTATATTTTGTGTGGGATTTAATATTTCTGTTGTTAATCAGTCAAGTGGGTTGCCAAATATTGAAAGATTAATGTACATGGCCTTGAAATGTTGTTTATGAATAATTCTGGACAAAAAAAAAAAAGGAAGAAAATCTTCTTAGTTTTGGTCAACTAATACAGTGTTTCCCAACCTTTTTTTTAGTCACAGCACCCTTTGGAAATTTTAACAAATTTGTGGCACCCTACAAAAATTAATTTTGTCACAATATTTGAGTTTCTAACTTCAATATGATACTTTGAAAAGTATCGATATTCGGTACAGCAGGGAAGAACTGCAGAATGTGTCATATATATATTATATATTATATTATATATATATTATAACTTCATCGGTTATATCTCAATATCTCACAAATTTTTGCTCACTCTGTGTATTTTTGATTTTACAGTTGGGTAATTTTGTTGCAGTAGCACGAGAGAGCTTGATTTCAAACTCTGAATTGAATAAAAAATGACAAGTAAACAGTCAGTAATAAAATAAGAACAAATAAAGAAATGAATAATGATAGCACAAATAAAAAATAACGACAGGCCTACAAATTAAATAAATTGCTTTTTAGTTTTTCAGGTATAACAGTAGGGCTATTAAGAGATTTTATTATTATTTTTTATTTTTATTTTTACCAATTATGTGCTAGTCCTAGAAAGCTATTATTATCAGAACACGTGAGCATAACATAGCGGTTAGCAGATCAATGAATGAGAGGGCAGCGTTACCGGAGATGCCCATATACCACACCATGTTACAACACAGTAGGGCTATTGCAGACAGAAACAATACTGTAATACATCGATGTTTCCTGTCGGCTCAATTTTTGAGTGGACTTTGCTGTTCCGATGAGCATGAACGGTATACGAGTGGAGCGACTGAGTGAAGTGCACACGCATAGACCGGATAATACACAGAGCGTCACACCACGTGAACGTGAAAATAATTTTCGGTGAACTAATTTTCGGCAGCCGGAATTTCTGTGCATCTCTAATTATTGGCGACATCAGAAATTTATATTATATAATAGATGCTTTTTTGAACATTTTAGCAATTTAAAAATATAAAAAATTTTTTTTTTTTTTACACGGCACCCCTGCTCTCGACAGACGGCACCCCGGTTGGGAAACACTGAACTAATATACATGTTTAATGGCGATATCTGACCAATTTAAATGTCAGTGTATACATAATGCTGTTTAATAATGGCAAATGAGACATACAAAAATGTAATGACACTTATTTTACAGATTACTAACTGATTTTAAAAATATAAAAAAAAACAATATTGAAAGATTAATTAGCCTGGGCCAATACATGACCATGAAAAGGGGATTTCTTTTTTAATAAATCAGGGCAAATTCCAAATGGCTTTTTGCGTCCTTGAAGTGCATTTCGGGAAGAGGGTGCTTTTTGTAGAGACGTTACAAACAAAAGTGAACAACAGAATACCTTCACAAAGGGCTCTTCCAGAAGTCTGTTACATGCAATAGTCACTTCAAGGTGGTGATTTCTGTTTTATCTTGGATTATGAGTTCTTGTGATGCACTGTGAAGCAAAGTTGAGGTTGATCTCGACTACACATACAAATGTAAATAATGTATTTAAATTTAACTAAGCTTGGTAGATGAGTGTTTTTTCTTTTTCCAGCTATTTTGTTTGCTTTTCTGGTATTTGCTTTTCTGGCTGCATTATCTGCTGTCTGGAACACGATTAAAAGGTACAGACATTTTCAAATATAATTTTCACAATGCACTGATGCCATTTAAACAATCCAGAACAGTTTGTTTCAGCTGTTCTATTTACAAAACTTGTACAATTGAGTTTTTCTATTTTTAAGACTGGATGTGGTGACAAATCTACTTCTTCGCTTGGGGAGCACAGTGGAGACAGAGAGGCTGATAAACTCGGTAAGAGTGCTATTCACTTATTTTATACTTTTTTTTTTTTTTGCACTCTTAATATTGTCTATGCATGATTTTCACATCTTCAAAAAAAGAAATGCAAAGCACCAAATATAAAGTTTCTGTCGTAGTTCAAACATGGCATCATGCTTGATTTAGTATTCTTTTTTTTCTCATTAATTTACACTCTCGCTCTTTTTCTTTCTCTCTTGTCTGCAGGAGCTTGGCACTCCAAACAGATTGGTAGATGCCTCTATGGAATCGATAATTCCTGCCACTACAGGACGGAGGCTTCGTTCTTTGGATACTTTCCGTGGGTATGGTGCTCTTTCACTAATTGTTTTGGGTCCAATGCGCTTGAGATGGGAATTGAAAAATTCAGGTGAAAATGATCTTGCATATAAGCTTCTACTTTGCATACTGTGAAGCTGGTTGTCAAATGTAATTTGCATTTGATTTCTCATTATCCTGAAATAGAATGATTACATTTGAACTTGTTAAAACAAGTTTATCTTGGCTTGTAACCTTACCTAAGAATTGGAACTTAATTACAGTTGTTTTAATGTTTGGTGTTGTATTTCTGTCTGTCTGATTTGTAGGAATTCAATCGCATTATTAATTGTGGTTTGGTTTAATTCCAGACCTCTGTTAAGACAGAAATGACCCTCGCTCTGTTTTCTCCATAGTCTTGCCCTGGTCGTTATGGTGTTTGTCAACTACGGGGGTGGACGTTACTGGTTCTTTAGGCATGAAAGTTGGAATGGTAAACTCATTTCTTTCTTTACAATAGCCACTAGCATGTTTTCAAGCATCAGAGCTCGTAGTGTCTATTATTGATAACAGTGGTCATTAATAATTTTAGTATATGAATACAAAACTGGCCAAATGAATAAGGTTTTTTTTATGTTTATGCTCACCAAGGCTGCATTTATTGCTCAAATATACAGTAATAACAGACAGTAAAATTGTGATGTAGTATTAGTAAAATTACTTTTCTAGTTGAATATATTTTAAAAAGTAATCTATTACTGTTATGGCAAAACTAAATTTCCAGCAGCCCTTACTTCAGTCTTCAGTGTCACATGATCCTACATAAATCATTCTAATATGCTGATCAATTATTATTATCAATTGGTGCTCAATAATGATTGTTATTATTATCAATGTTGAAAACCATTTTTGCTGCTTAATATTGTTGTAAAAACTGATAAAAAAACATGTCTTTACTATAACTTTTGATAAATTTAATGCATCTTTGCTGAAAAACAAACAAACATTAATTTCAACATTGGTAATAAGAAATGTTTTCTCCGCATATTAGAATGACTTCTGAAGGATCATTTGACACTGAAGACTGGAGTAATAACCGCTGAAAATTCAACTTTTTAAAATATAAAAAGTTTTAAAATATATTAAAACAGTTGTTATTTGAAATTGTAAAAAAGCCTCGGTGAGCATAAGAGACTTCTTTTAAAAACATTAGAAAGAGTAAATTATTCCAAACTTTTGGCTGACATTGTATGTATTTAGAATATGTCTGAAAAGCACTTGTTATGAATTTAATAGACCGTGGTTTGACAGCAGGAAGTGATATCTGATGTGTTCTTCCTCTCGCAGGGCTCACAGTGGCTGATCTCGTGTTTCCTTGGTAAGTCAATCCGATGTCACAAATGACTGATTCCTCACACTGCATGCATATAGAGCAGCTTCCTTACACTCTGCTTGAGCTGTTTCTTTATAGGGCAGTATTGTAAAATAGCTTCTGCAAGCCACATCTGCAAGCCACATCAGCGCTGGCATAAGCTATAGTATATCTGAGCCAAGCATGGGCGCTTATCACTGTGGCACAAATGAAGTCGCATATCAGAGTCAGCATAAACTGGTTTCACAGTTGCACTAAACCCAATAACCTTGTTTTCTGCTGTGCAGCTGAAGAAAGTGTCTGCAGCAGTGTTACTCAGGTTTACACCTTTGTGAGGTTTTAGGAAGCCTGTATGAAATGACCAACAATAATATTGTTCCAAACCATTTTTTACATTTTAAAATATAATACTGTATATTCCTGTGATGGCAAAGCTGAGTTTTCAACCTGTGTTTGAGTCTGTATATGAATGCTTGTGAAAATTTTTTCAATTTTTACACGGTATATAATGACAACATATAGCAAAAAAGTGTTTTTATTATTAACAATCCAAGATAAAGAATGCCCACATTTTTTTAATACAAAGGCCTAACCTTGTAAATGTTGCTAAAAGTAAATGTTGCATTATATCTAACTGCATTATATTAAAATGTATTAAATTAATAGTTAAAAATATATTTTTTTTATTTAAAATTTTGTTAATCATATTTTTTATATTTTCTAGTGCTGTCAAATGATTAATCGCAATAAAAGTTTTTGTTTGCATAATATATGTGTGTGTTCTGTGTATATTTATTATGTATACATAAATACACACACATACAGTATATAT